TCTCTCTCTCTCTCTCTCTCTCTCTCTCTCTCTCCCTCTCTCCTCCACAACAAAACATCACGAACCCCTTTTCTCAAATCAAACATGACAACAATCAAAGAACCAACAAAAAGCTATGTGATTTATTACCTTGCCGTGGTCTTCGCGTTTTCTTTCTGATCTGAACCTTTTATAATCCCTCCTTTCTCGTACTTGACAAGTACAATGGATAAAGGTTTGGAGCGACAACGATTAAAGTGATGACAACAAAGGATGACGATGATGAATAGGGTAATGGCGACGAAATCTCAGCTTTGGGGTTTCGGACTTTGAAACCCAAATCTCAATTGCGGACGCGAGGTTACGAGCAGCTTAGACCACAACTCCTTTTTTAAGATTTTTTTCGTAAGCCTTTATGTATACTTCTTATCTCTGTATTTTTTTCGCTCTCTCCCTTTCTACTGTAATTTTTCTCTATAATTCTCGTTTGTAATTCCTCTCTTCTGTCCTCTCCCCCCCATTTGTATTGTAATTTCCCCCCAATTTATAGTGCTTTTAGGAATTAGGTTTTTAGGAAAGCTTTTAATTTATCTGTAATTATGTTTTATGAATTCAAATTGTTTCCTCTTTTGCGTTGATTTTCTTTAAGTCTATTTATGCAATTAGTTGATCCACTTTAAGTTTTGATTTTGATTAATTGAGTTTCTGTATTTTTGATTGTGTAATTAAGTGTGTTAATTTGTGAAGTTAGATGGGGAATGAATCAATTCGGTTAATTACTGCTGAGCTGGCATATTCTTAGTTGGTGCCCAGTGTTATGAATTTGTTGAACTCTATTTTCTGCCGAGTCTGGTTTTGATTTAGTGCCCTATTTCAGCTTGGGTTTTGCTCTGGTTTGGATTCAATTAGAGGACTGGTTTCTGTTGTTTTGTTAAGCGAATTGAAACTGGTTAATGGATCTGGTTAATTGGTGTAGTAGTTTGTGTTGACTGGTTTTGGATTTTTTCCGTTGTGTTAATGGACTGGTATGAACTGGTGCAGGTTATTTGTTATGGATGTTTTATATAGGTCTGAAATGCGAGTGTTACCTGATGCTTCTCTATGAAGAGCTGCTAGGTACTGGGATGGTTTCTTCTGATTTTGAGAGGATTAGATGTACAAATTGTTGGCATGGGGTGTGTTTCAAGCAGGCTGCTTCATGGTTATCGTGTAATGTTGCTGTTTTGATTCATTTTTTGTGTTTGTCTAGTATTAATGTAAGGCTTTTTTGTAGGTGTTAACGACATGACATGAAGTTTGTCATGGAGAAGGCCTAAGCTAGGATAAGATTAAAGAAGCAACAACATAAAGAAATATTGGGGATTCAAGTTTGGCCATGGGGAGGTTGAAGATGTTTTGAAGATGTTATGAAAAAAATGGAGATGTACCAATGATGAGCTTAGGTTTAGGATATGTAGATTTTGGCATTTCCATGTAAAGTTTCTTTGTGATCTTTCTTTGTAATGGTGACTATGATGATGTTGTAATGATATGGCTTGATTTTGAATGTATTTTGTAATTATTCATGGGGTATTGGTTTTGTGAATTTAAATGAAACACTTTTGACCCATCTTTCTCTTCTAGATTTCCAGGTCTCTCCTTTTGACTTTGTATCCATGTAGCTCATTATGTACAAGACTTTTCAATTTCACATGAATGATTCAATGTCATATTACTTCTCTTTACCTTCATTAATGGAATACATCACCCTTTTATGATACCTTCGAATAAATGGAATTCCTTGGCACTTCTATTTGATTCATAGCCTTTAGCTTTTAACTTTGAGACAATAAGATGAGTCCCTTGGCAAACTTGTGCTACAAGTAATCAATTGATCCTATTAAACAATTTTCCTCAAGCCTTTACAACCCTAATTGAATAATACTTAAGTATCCTTTCATTTTGTATAATTCTATGATCATGTGCCTTATAGTTCGAATGAATCCCTATCTCTATGGTTGAGCTCTTTTGAATACGACTTGCAGCTCAAGCCTTGCATAATGAATGCATCCTTGAACTAAAACCCTAATTACATGCTTTAACCCAA